ACGAAAAAATGGACGGGAGCATGCGCTAAAGAAAAACGGGTGGAGCTCCTCCCGATCTTCAAACAAAGACGTCTGGTCCTCCCGTCCGGAATTGGTTGGCGAAGATTTGCTGCGATGAACTGTTTCCTGATTCAAATATAACCACGAACCACTCAGTCGCGCCCAAGACTCGGTTGGTGAAATTTGCTGCCGTTGGCTCTTTCCTGACTGAGTTAGATATATTCACGAACAAGCCAATCACAGCAAATTTCGCCCCAGAATCGGTTGGCGAAATTTGCTGCTATTGGTTGTTTCTTGGCTTAAATAACCACTAATAAGCCAATCGCACCAAATTTCGCCCAAGAATCGGTTGCCGAAATTTGTTGCGATTGGTTGTTTCCTAATTGAGTTGGAAATATCCACGGACAAGTCAAGCGCAGCAAATTTTTGCTGTAAATCGGTTGGAGATATTTGCTGCGATTGACTGTTTCCTGATGTATATATTTGTATCCACGAACTTTCCAGAAAATGAAAACAGCGAAGAGCGGTTCCATAGCACCAAATTTTCCGAAAGGTGTCGTCTCAGAAATTTGGTGCTATCGAATCGTTGCGTTTCAGAAAATCAGGGCAGCGAAGCGGGGTTCGATAGCACCAAATTTTCCGAAGGGTGTGGTTTCAGAAATTTGGTGCTGTTGAACCGCCGCGTTTCAGAAAATCAGGACAGCGAAGGGCGGTTCGATAGCACCAAACGTTCCGAAGGGTGTCGTTTCAGAAAACTTGGTGGTATCGAACCGCTGCGCGGGTAGGGTTGAGGCGGTTGAGGGCTGAGAAGGTTTAAAGGTTTAGGGGGTTTAGGGTTTAGGGGGTTTCGGGTTTAGGCAGGAACCAGAGGGGGGGTGGGGCCTAGTACTAAAATTTTTTATATTGTTAATTCCCGGCCACAATTTACATCAGTTAAATCATTTAAATAATTTACATAATTCAAACATTGGGGAGGGGGTCCGGGGGCCCGGGTCCGGGGGGGTCCCGGCACCCGGGAAATACAGAATCTTAAATATGGGCCAGGGGAGACCTCCGGATTTGATTGGTTTATTTTATTTAATCCCAGAGCGGGGTCCAGGGCGCCGGACCCTCTCCCCAGGTTTTTTTTTGTTTGCAACATTCAAATTATGTTTTCGGCTCGGTAATGGCATAATGTAAATAAATAGTTTAAATAGCTTAAACTCCGAGGCCTCCCCAATATGTAAAGTATTTAATTTTAACTATTTAATTCGGGCTTGGAACCTCTCCTGGAACGAAAATAGGGTTTATTTGGAAGCTGGCTCTTGTGTATATAATAGGGATTCAGAGCAAGGTCCTCTCTAGAATGCAAGAGCCAGCTTCCAAATGAATCCGGTTTAAGCTGCACCCGGGGGGTGTTTAACATGTATGATGAACCGTTATCGCCACATGTAGGAGCTTTCAGATATATGATGAAGCGGAACCGCCCAATGAGAGAGGCATGTTTAACAGTTTGACATGTATGATGAACCGTTATCAACATTCAAGATACCGAAAGGACTGTTCTCCAGAGATATAGAATGAACGAGAATCGCGAAATGAGGGGGGCTTGTTTAAGATTTATGATGAACAGGAATCACGAAAAAGGGGCGGGCGTGTTGAAGATATATGGTGAACTGTTGAACATATATGGTGAGCTGCAATCGCCAAACCATGGGGTGTGTTTAAGATATATGATGAGCAGAAATCGCCACATGCGTTTTTAAGATATATGCTAAGCTGCATTCGTCAAACTGAGGTTGCATGTTTAAGATGTGATGAACCGCCAATCGTGTTGCCATTGCGTTTGCATATGGAGGAGGCTGTGCCTCCCAACCCCTCGCTCTTTTAAGTCCCGTGAACGTGTTTTTCGTGTTTTATCGAACGTCGTACCGTCAAGAACGCCATTTGGCCATTCGCGATTGGTCGTAACAAATCAAGCACATAGCTCTTATGACAGACCCCAATCCCCGTCCTAGGGGCCTAACCCCCCGGCTATACTTCTGGGCCGCTCATGCTTGTTTTAGAGAACATCGTGCCATCAAGAACGTAAAGCCATAAAGCCGAGAAGCTTGCAGCCTGACTGGCGCGGAAGGCAGCGGGTAGATTGGCGGGGTCGGCCGGATGGATTTACAGACTGAGTAACCGACCGAGGGTCGAAAACTAAAGACTTGGCATACAGCCTCACTTCTCGCCATCCTTGTGATTCTTGCAAGTTTTGTATATGGATCGAACCGAAAACCAAAAAACACCCAGAAAAAAGCAAAATAATACAACAAAGCCCTGACCTGAATTCTCGTCTAGGCTTTAGTTGAGTCTAGGCCGTGGAAACAAGATGAGGAAGAGATGCGGAAGATTGCCACACCATGCACGCCCGTTCTCTCAGCTTCGAGCTATCTCAACTTGGACAAGGGCGCAGCAGTGGGTCAGTCAGTGTTCAGCGTCATCATCCTGCAGAAACCGTGTGCTGCGAAGCGCTGACACCAATGCGGTGGATGGGATCCGTGCGTCGGTAGTGTGGTGCAGTTTCTGTTCACTGCCACTGCTGACCAGGACATGGCTCCGATGAAATGCGCTCTGCTGCGCTTGCTGGCATGCAGATGTGTGTAAATCCGGACATGCACTGCGCACGGTGCATCCAGTTTAATCGTTTCCATGCAGGCTCAAGTTTTGTTAGTCTCTTAGAGATTTAGTGGGATCAGCTGACCAAGTGGGTGCAGCCTCGCAGCTGCCATGCCCCTGGTCACCGTCCTCACGGATGTCGATGCTGTCATTGCAGCCAAGAAAGAGGACCTTTGGTAGCACAAGCGCTTGGAGTGTGTGCAAAGATATTGCAAAGAAGATAGGGAGGAGGCTCAATTAAGCTGGTGCAGGTTGCGGCAATGGTTCACAACGCTTGGGCCTCCGCTGACACTGAAGAGCTCGAGCACGTCAAGCCAGATTGTGCCTGGTCTGAGAGTGCACGCTGAGGCTGTGAAGACTGCGCTCGGCAAGCCAGACCAGTACATCACGGTTGCTCTAACCAAGGCAATACTGTCCGCTCACGTTTTGCAGTTGGCCTGGCAAGATCTGCAGGCTGAGTGCGTCACGGTTGCAGGGCAGGAGGCGTCGGTGGTCAGCTTCTCAACGGTAAGAAGGATACCTTTGGCCTGGTAGCATCTAGTGTACAGCAGGCTGTGCCCAGCAGTGTCGAGGTTGTCGAAGTCGACTCCATTGGTGGTGATTTTGGCGCAGTCATCGCGACTATTGCCGACGGCTTGAAGGCCCGTCTTTGCTGGGTCGATCAGGCCAGTGGTCAAACCGCTTGCGCATGAATCAGGCGCATGGTGTCGAACCCTCCAAGGCAAATCCTGCAAGCGCTGCAATACAGCAAGCCCGTCTGTGACATTTACATCGCCAGTCATCATGACATCAATCCATTTCCAGGTTACCGGAACCTTCCGGGGCGTTTCCTTCAAGGACATTTCGTGAATCTATCACGGAACTCTTGATCTGCTGTGGGCTCTCCAGGAGTTTGCGATGAACGGTCGGCCTCTGGGCTGAGGTGTCACGACCGGAAGACCACAAGTGTCAACATGACAGGCTTGTTTATAGCGTAGGACCAGGTTGCAGGACTTTCTCCAGCTTAACCTTCGCACAGAACTGAGCAGAACTGCTTGTGTGCCTGGACAGCATGGTCTAGCAGTCTGACATGAAGACGATGGAAAAGGCTCTGCGCCGAGGCATCCCGTGCAGGTTGCTTTAAAGCCTTGCCAGCTTCCATGTGGCCTGAGCCTTTTGTAGCCAGATGACTTGGTGACCAGTCCTAAGACCCCATGCCTCAGCGCCCCATGCAGCACCCGCATGTTGGATTCGCACGTGGTGCTCCATCGGGTTTCTTTCTGCCACTTCACCTGTGACCTGCTTGTCCTTCGTCGCCCAGAACTCTGTGCAGAGCATGCGAAGCTTGATCGAGGGAACATGGACGTGCAGTGTAAAATGGGTTCTTGTCAGGACCAGCGGTACGAAGTGTCGTTCCCAAAAAGTGGACGTTGCTAGCGCGAGCGTTTCGCCTCAGCATGCCTGTCGGCGATGAGCAGCAAGGCGAATGGAGGCCGAGGGCAGTCAACACCTTCCTGGTTCCACAGCACGGACATGATCTCTCCCAGTGTCGTGGAAGGAACAACTCCCTACACTTGTCGGAGATGCCCTGGACGTCCGACTGCTGCAGGCCCGAATGGACCTCGTGTTGGTAAGCTCGCTCTTGTGTCAGCAAGCTGGATGACATAGCGTCTCGAGCAAACCTTGGCCTTGAAGTTTGTCGCACTTCCACCTGCGCAGACGTGGGCTGCGCAAGAAGAGCAGGTGGCTGAGGAGGTGCGGATAGCTGCCTTTGGTTCTTTGCTTCGGCCGGAGAACAACATGAAACGACGAGGTCAGGCGAAGCTTTGGTGCCGCAGTTTGGCTGAAGGACCGTTGCTGGCAGCTCCGGGTTGCACTTGCCTTTGAGCGCTGGCTGCATCGGAGGGCGAAGTTTGGAAGGATGCGCCCACTCACCATGCCGTACTAGGCACCTCGTGGCGCCATGTCTGGTACTGTACGACATGAGATCTGCTGACAGGAGAGGTCTCTCCATCTGCATCGGCGATTGCCCTTGTGCCATTCTGAGGAAACACAGAGGAAGAACTCGTGCTCGCATCTGAGTGCCTAAGGCCCGACTTGCTTGTGCATTGAGCACATCGTCAGCATCATTGATGAATCGCTGGAGTGAAGACCAGGACAGGAGTTCCGGCCAGTCATATCGCATGATTTCGAGACTTGGATTTGCAGGAAAAGTTAGCATCCGAGCCCGCATTGAGCAAGGAGGCTTTGCTTGCTGCTTGCTTCCGGTCCAACTGAGCATCCTTCCACCTATTCACAACATGCAGGTTTGCCGATTGAGTCAAGACTTACAACATGCAAGGGCAGAAAGAAGAGAAGCCTATCACAGGCACTTTCATGGT